AGGCTCCACACTGTCAGCACAGAGCCTGACGGCTCGAACTCACAAACTGTGAGATCATGACCTGAGCTGAAATCAAGAGTCGGACTCCCAAACGACTGAGCCACCCAGGTGCCCCAAAGCCTGTTTTTCTCCTTGTGTTTGTTTGTTTGTTTTTTTAGAGAGAGAGAGACTGGGTGTGAGTGGGGGGGAGGGGGAAATGGTGGGGGGGAGAGAGAGACTGAGAGAGAGAGAGAGAAAGAGAGAGAGAGAGGGAGAGAATTGGCAGGCTCCATGCCTAGTATAAGAGCTGGATGACAGGCTCAATCTCAGGACCCCTGGGGATCATGACCTGAGTCAAAATCAAGAGTTGACGCCAACTGACTGCTCCAGGTGCCCTTATGCGTTTCTGTAGCCATTTTGTAATCAGTTTGTCAGATTCTGACTAAAAAAGAAATAATATTGGATGTTGTGGACTGTGATTGAAAACAAATTTGTAAGTTAATTCAGAAATAATTGTATCAATGAGTCTTCAGTCCACATTGTTTGATTATCTTTAATAATGTTTTATACTTCTCAATGTAGGGACCTTTGCACATATTTGATTAGACTTATTCCTTTGTGGTATTTGAGCATTTTAACTTAAAATGGTAATGGTATCTGAGGGATTATTTCCATGGTAACGCTTTCTGATAGCAAAATGACAAGGCTTTTTTTTCCTGAGAGGCCATTTCTCCAACTTTTGACAACTGGGTATATTCAAGAATTCAATTCAATTCTGACACTACTTGAGTCCGGTGACAGACCCCACAGGTCAGTCCCACAAACTCTCAGCTTCCCTCCCCCCCCACACACATTGCAGAGTGCTAGTTAGAGTCTGTAGCCACAGGTCAGGCTTTCTTGACCAATTGGCTATAGTTGAGTGTTCCCATGAGTCCCTCTCTCAGGTTCTATAATTTACTAAAATGGCTCATGGAACTCAGGGAGGCACTTTTACTACTAGCTCCATTCTTATAAAAGATAAAACCCTGCTTCTTGGGTGGCTCAGTCAGCAGGGTATCCTCTCACCCTGACTCATGATCCTCCTGTTCACTTGTGCTCCGAAAGACCATGTTCTGGCTCCTTGCCGACAGCTCAGCCTGGAGCCTGCTTTGGATTCTGTGTTTCCTGCCCCTCCCTCAAGCTTGCTGGCTCTCTCTCTCTCTCTCTTTAAAAAACAAATAAACATTAAAAAAAATTTCACCCTAAAAGATACAACCCAGGCCAGCCAAAGGAAAGAGATACATAGGCCAGGTGGGGCAGGGACCGAGCTTCTTCCATCTCCTCCTTGGTGCTTCTCACCTCCCAGAACCTGACTCTTGGTGCTTCACCCTCCCAGAACCTGATCGGTGCGCCCAACACGGAAGCTCCTGCTTCCTGTCATTTAAGGGTTTTATGGAGGCTCCTGCATTGGCTGCTTGATCAAATCATTGGCCATTGATGAGTAACTCAATCTCCAGTCCCTCCTTCCCAGAGGTGAGGTAGGCTGAAAGATTCTTCCATTTGGGATTCCAAGGCTCTGGGGAGTTGTGTGCTGTAGTTAGGAAACTAAAATCAAATATCTATTTCCTATTGCACCTTCAGAATCTTGTAAATTTTATCAGGGCACCCAGGCCTGTCAGCACATCCGACTTGGGCTCCCACTACTCCCATGTCAGTGCCCAGCCCGTTTCAGGTGCTCTGTCCCCCCTCCCTCTCTCACCCCTCCTTGCTTGCACCATTCTCAAAATAAACATTGGGGCATCAAGTGGCGAAGGCCGGTTGTTGCCCCTGACTTCAGCCAGGTCACGACCGGTCCTGTGAGTTCTGAGTTCCCGTCAGGCTTGAGGCTGATGGCTCAGAGCCTGAGCCTGTTTCCGCCCCAGGTCTCCTCTCTCTGCCCCTCCCTGCTCATGCTCTGTCTCTCTCTCAACCTAAAATAAATGGGCCAAGAAAAAAAAATTAAAACATTGTAATTTTATATGTACATGGAGCTGACCCCATGTACACATTTAAAATTTTATTTTCTATTTGTTTGTTGTTGGTATGAAGAAATACAACTGATTTTTTTATATTGACCTTAAATTCACCTAATTCCAACAGTTTGTATGGTCCTTTTCTCGACTTTTCTCTATGTAAACAACTGTTGTCCCAGATAGTGTTAGTCTCACCACACTTGGGATGAGTCTTAACAGCCTCTCTTTAGGTGGGGGTTTCCCACTAGCTCAGTGATTGGCTCTGATTATTTTATTTTATTTTATTTGGACATGATGGCCTGATTACAACAGCCATTTTCTTTCTTTCTTTCTTTTCTTTTCTTTCTTTCTTTCACTGTTTATTTTATTTTTGAGAGAAAGAGGGGGGGAGGGGCAAACGGGGGGTGGACAGAGGATCTGAAGAGGGCTCTGTGCTGACAGCAGTGAGCCTGATGTAGGGCTCAAACTCATGAACTGTGAGATCATGACCTGAGCTGAAGTTGGATGCGTAACCGACTGAGCCACCCAGGTGCCCCTGGCTCTGATTTCTGACTCTCTTCCCCCCTCCTCTAAATCCTGAGTTCAGTTCATTGCTTCCAGCTGCTCCCCACACCCACCACCACAACTCTGGCTCCTAGGACTCTGTGGTGTCCTTTTTCCTCCAGCCTTTCCTGCTGCCCCTGGGAAAAAATTTGTTCCCAGGAGGGGGATACTAGAGCCATTTACTATTTGCTAAAGATGCTGTCCTTGTGCATTCCTACAGGCGAGGCTGCGGAACTGGGGAGAGGGATGTTCTGGGGATGAAAGTATTAGCTGGATCTTCTTCAGTTCTAGGGTGCATCCCTACATCTGCATTTAAGTTCACATAGTGAGGCAGGAAGGTGGAACCATCAGTGAAGCTAATCTAGGGACAAAGGGTCTGTCTGTGAGGCTGTAAGGACAGAACTGCTGAATAAAGACTCCGGGGGCCAAAGGCTGAGAGGCAAGAGGATGTTTTACCAAACCTCAAAGTGTCTATATAATGGAGAGGTGATGAGGTGCCCAGACCCTCAAAATTAGGTGTGGTCCCTTGACCAATGAATCTGTGAAGAAAGATATTGGACATCTTTCCCGGGTTTGTATCTGCTCATATCCCAGTATCTGCAGGGCCCTGAGTTCAGAGACAGAGATTCACAGAGAGGTAACATGGCAAAAGAAGTAGCCCCTGTTCACTGGGAGGTCTGGTCACTTAAGCCTCCCGAAGCCCCCCCCCCCCCCCCGTGAGGCAGCCTTTATTAACCCTGTTTTGTAAACAAAGAGCCCTGGGACACAAATCATTTGGGTAGCTTGCTCAAAGCCTCCTCAAATTAGTGGGAGACTCCCTACAATTCACCTGCAACTCAACAGGTCTATTTCATTCCAAAGGCCTTGGTCCTTGGGGGTCCCACACATGTGGCTTTGTCTAGAGGGAGTATTAGGTAAGCTCCCAACATTAAGGTCCCATAAGTTGCTGACACTCCAAGAGGTGTGACATAAATTAACTCACATGTGGTGAGTTCCTCGTGGGAAAGCCGTGGCTATTCGAGCCTCCCTGCCTTTCTGAGTGGGTGCCAGCTGCCTCCCAGATCCGTGACCTCCTCCAGAGCCTGCTAAAGTGACTAGGAAAATGCTATTTCCGGAGCAGGAGCCAAAAGAGAATGCCACGGCTCTGTATCCCAAATCTTTGGGGGGAGGGGTTGTTTGTTTTATATACAAGAACTTATGTTTACTGCTAACAAAAACAAAACCAAACACTACCAAAAAAGAGAGCTAGGGAAAGAGAGAAAATGGTCAGAAGCACAGCACCAAATCTCTGGATAGATGAGTGATCCAAGCATTCATTTCAAGAAACAAATATGTCTGTTTCTTGAAACTTAGAAGTGGACTTTCCAGGTGGCATTAGAGCCCATTCAGTGTACTTGGCCCCAATAAAGAAAAAATTAAAACAAAAACAACCCCAAAACCTCACATTGAGCTGTTTTGAGCCACTTCAGGTACAAAAGTATTCAAGTGAGCCATCCTGACCAGTCTCCCTGAAGGCAGGCTGGGGTCATCACTATACCCTGGGTTTCCAGGCTCCCCATCTCAAGTCTGAGTGCCCATGTCCCTGGTAGCTGTTCACATTGCTCACAGGGCCTTAGGCAAAGCCCGGATTAGCAAGGAGAAGAATGGAGGTTTGGCTACAAGTGATGTTTTGCACAGAGTCCTGAGACTCAAGGGGAAAGGCCCAAGGGTGGGGGGGGGAGTGCTTTCTTCCCTGGGGAGACCTACCCCTAGTACAGTTGTCCTCACCCACACCAGCTATGCCCTTAACTCAGGACCTTTCTGGAATGAGGGCCAAGCACTTGGTGACCAAGAGGGCCCTTTTGGGGTCCCTGATCCTATGATACGTGGTCCCAGACTGGATAACACGTTGGCTTTTTTATGAATGTTATTTATCACATAAACAGGGATTCTGTGGTTGAACCATCCTGGGACAAACAGGAGTTGAATGTGATCTGAAAGAAAAAACAAAAAACTTTAACGTGCTGTTGGATTCAACTTACTAGTTTTGTTTAGGATTTTCCTTTTTATTCACAGGTGAGATTGGTTCAGCTTTTCTTTTTCTTGTACTATTCTTACCTGGTTTAAGAGTCAAGGTTGTACATACATGTTTCATAAAATGCATTTACCTGCTTTCTTCCCTCTTTCCCCTCTTTAAATTATTGACAGTGGAATGATATTTGTAATGGGCTTTGGATCTTAGAAAAACACACCCCCAGAGTCTGCCTGCTCGGCAGGAGACTTGGCACAGACAGGCAGAGAGACAGACACCTCTTTCCCTTGTTTGTAGTCTGTGTTGGCTTATTTCTGGCACTTTTGTTGTTTCTGGGACTGCTTTGCTGGAGCTGGCCATTTCCCTGAGGAAGTAGGGCTGAGAGGTGAGGGAAGCCCTGGGCTGGGGGAGGGAGCATTGAGAGAGGGGTGGGGGTGGGGGTAGCACCCACCTGTGCTTCCCTGGACCAGGCTCCCATGAAGCCCCTCGCTGGAGCTCAGCCTGACCCTACCCACACAGGCACCATGTTCCGAAAGAAAAAGAAGAAACGCCCTGAGATCTCAGCCCCACAGAACTTCCAGCACCGTGTCCACACCTCCTTTGATCCCAAAGAAGGCAAGTTTGTGGGCCTCCCACCACAATGGCAGAACATCCTGGACACGCTTCGGCGACCCAAGCCCGTGGTGGACCCTTCTCGAATTACTCGGGTGCAGCTCCAGCCCATGAAGGTAAGGGAGGCGGCGGCAGGGATGGTCCTGCAGAGTCTGGCCTCTCCCAGTCCACAGAAGCCTGTGCCTGGCAAAACCACAAAGGCACCTGGAGGAACCACCTAATTACCAGCTATCGATTAGCTAGCTGTTTGCGTTCCCTGCTAATCAGCCTCACCCTGGGTGAGGATTGAATTTCCAGGGAGGAGGAGCCTGGGGCGTCCCTCTCTGCATGCAGGTTGGTAGGGTTGCCCGATTTAGCAAAGAAAAATACAGGATGCCCAGCAAAATTTGAATTTCAGATAACAATGAATAATCTTTCAGTATTAAGTGTATCCCAGGCAATATTTAGACCCGTAGCCCCTCTGGGGCCGGGACTCCCAGACCAGGGGGACTTAGTTGTGTGGGTCAAAAAGGGCAAGAGCTTGGTAGGGGCTGGGGTCAGGGGCCCTGCCAGGGTTTGGAGGCCACAAAGCCAGTTAATGTGGAGGAGAGCCCTAGACTGGCCACTGCCTCCTCAAGAAGCTCTGTGTGTCTCCCATAAGGCCACAGATAGAGCTAGAGAATGACAGCAGACCCCAGGCAGGGTCTGGACCCTACCTCTGTGCCCCCTCGGCTCCCGAAGCTCAGATGCCCACATCACTTGGCGTGCTGACTCCCTGTCTGCCCTGCTGGACTGTGAGCCCCATGACAATAGGCCTTCTCCCTGTATTTCTGCCCCCACACAGGCCCAACCTGCTGTGGACCCTGGTGAGTGACTGAAAAATTAAGAAACAGCTAGATGACACAGCAAGCGAGATCCTCAGGTGTTTCTCCTGAAGGCCCCTGGGAAGGCTGTCTGATCTGGTCCAGAGCCACCCCTCCCTGCCATGAACTGGCTGCTCACCCACACTCTTTTCCCTCCCCTACAGACAGTGGTGCGGGGCAGCTCGGTGCCCATGGACGGCTACATATCAGGGCTGCTCAACGACATCCAGAAGTTGTCGGTCATCAGCTCCAACACCCTGCGTGGCCGCAGCCCCACCAGCCGGCGGCGGGCACAGTCCCTAGGGCTGCTGGGGGATGAACACTGGGCCGCTGACCCGGACATGTACCTGCAGAGCCCCCAGTCTGAGCGCACTGACCCCCATGGCCTCTACCTCAGCTGCAACGGGGGCACACCAGCAGGCCGCAGGCAGATGCCGTGGCCGGAGCCACAGAGCCCAAGAGTCCTACCCAACGGGCTGGCCACCAAGGCACAGTCGCTAGGCCCCACCGAGTTCCAGGGTGCCACACAGCGCTGCCTGCAGTTGGGTGCCTGCCTACAGAGCTCCCCACCCGGCGCCTCACCCCCCGCAGCCACTGGTAGGCGTGGGACCAAGGTTGCCAGGCATGGTTCCGAGGAGGCCCGGCCACAGTCCTGCCTGGTGGGCTCGGCGACTGGCAGGCCAGGCGGGGAGGGCAGCCCCAGCCCTAAGACCCAGGAGAGCAGCCTTAAGCGCAGGCTGTTCCGAAGCATGTTCCTGTCTACTCCTGCCACAGCCCCTGCGAGCAGCAGCAAGCCAGGCCCTCCCTCTCAGAGCAAGGTAGGTTGGGATGGGCCCCGTCAGCAGAGCCCAGGAACCTGGCCTTCCCCACTTACGGGGTCAGGCTAGGGAGGGCATAAGGTGACACAGTGATCAAGAAGCCAGCTCAGCCTCAGCTGAGGATTCTACCCTGAACCAAGTAAGCCCTGGTCTTCCAAACCTTAGCACAGGTGAGTCAGGTTCAGGCTGGCTCATTTTCTGGGGCGGGGTGGGGGCCTCAGAAGGGCCTTTGGTACATCCCAGTTTACATTCTTGCCTTCTGCGGTGTGTCTAGATGGGCCACACTGGCAGGCAAACACCTCTAACCATAAGCCCAGACCTTTCCCCGCCCCCAGCACCCAGAGCCAGGTGCTCTGGTGCTGGACAGGGGCAGGGTCTCTGCCTCCCTCTTGTCAGCTTCTTTCGGCCTCCGCCCCCTGCTTGCCCCAGTGCTCTCCTCAGGTCCTGCTGAGGTTCCCTGTCCAGACTGCTTCTCCCTAAGGCATCAGGAATGTTCAGGTTTAACCCCTTCTCCAGTGAGAATGCTTTCCTTCCTCCCCTTTTCCTTTAGTGGCCGTTTGAACGTTCTGTAATGATTTATTTGGAGTCCATGTGCCCTGTGAAAAGCTAGAGCAATGAGCGTGCCTGGGCCGGGGAGCAGCAGGAGAACTGACTTTTGGCATGTGTGACAGCCTTAAATGCACATCTTTTTCCTTTGAAATAGGAAACAGTGAAGGGAACCCTAACGGTGACATTTCTTGACAGGCAGAGGAGACTGTCCTTGCCCTTAGATGTCCTGTCCGTGGTGACAGCACCAGCCTTTCTCATTAGGCAGAATGACAAGAGGTACTCAGAGAGGGTAGGACAAGTCCCAGGTGTCTCGAATGAGTCAGGGAAGGAAACGGTGAGAGGGCCCTCGGGGTTCAGGCCTCTTGCTCCTAAAGGTTTCTGGCATCTCTAGCTCCTTCTTGAGGGGCCGGTGGAAATGAGCTCACATTGCAGCACGAGGGTGGGGAGTCAGACCTAAAAAAGTCAGACCTCCCCTCCCTGGAGGGCTTTCAGAGCAAGCCTGGCTCCTCCCATGTTGGTGGTACATGAGTGTGGTTCCAGCTAGGGGAGTGGCCTGGACCCTTAACCTTTCCAAGTCACTGGCAGCCCAAGGCATCCAGGGAAGGTTCTGGGCTTTGTGTAGTCACTGGAATGAAGGACGTGGGCTGGGCTTCCACGTGGGGTGCGGGTTTAGGGGTAGAACAAATGAGATGTGGCTTGATGTATCCATATGAGGAACATGTCTGTGAGCTGAGAGGTCTCTGGAAGGCCATCCCCTGGGGAGACACTTCCTTGAAAACCAAGGTGGGAGCAGGACAGTTCACGCTGCCCAAGAGGTGAGAACTGATACTTGATCGCTCTCTGGCCTCTCGGGAGTCCTGTGGCAGGGCTTCGGGGGTTTGGGAAAAGGGGGTGTCAGCCCTGGGCTGGGCACTGACATGCATGTTTCTGAGCTCCTGCCAGCACCCCACAGCAGGATCAGGCTGTCCACCCAGCCTCTGTCGGCCCGTCCATCCTACATACTTTACCAAGGATCTCCCATAGGCCACCACTGCTGCATGTGTGGGGCTGTCCCCTGCACCAGAGGCAGGTGGTAGTCATCTGCGGCTTGGAGATGCCACAGTTCCAGATCCAGGGGAGTAGTTTCCTTCCAGGCACCTTGGGCATGTATTTCTAAATAAATATTTTCAAGCCAGGCCTCTAAAAGGCAGGGCTGAGACTTCCTCTGAGCTGCTCTGGGCCATAGCTTCTCAACCCCTTCACTATTGACATTTGGAGCAGATGATCCTTTGCTGTAGGGGCTTTCCTGTGCATCGTAGGATATTTAACAGCATCTCTGGCTTCTACCCACTAGATGCTGGTAGCACCTCTCAGACGGGATAACCAAAAATCCCCCCAGACATTGCCAAATGTCCCTTGGGGGATAAAATCAGCCCCAGTTGAGAACCACTGCATCCAGCTTCCTACTCCACCCCTACAGCCCCAGGAACCACCAGACCAAACCAGCAGCCAGCCTTCCGCACCTCAGCACATCCCAGGGGCTGGCTCAGGAAGCTCACAGCAGCTGTCCATGCACTGGTGCCCTAGGAGGTCAAGCCACCAATTGTCACCTCTAGCCGGAAGAGGCTCCAGGAGGGTCTGTGGCTCTAGGGCTTTTGTACCCAGCCCCAGGGAGCTTGGCCTGCAGTCACTCACTTTGGCTAAACAGCAAAAGACCTCAACCCTGAGTGGGGGCTGGAGGCCAAAGAGTTAAGACAGGAACTTGGGGGATTTAGGAGTGGTTCCACTTAGAGGCAGAAAGGCCAAATCGGAAGACCTCAAGAATCAGCAAGCCTTGGTTAAACACCTACTGTGTACCCTGTACTCTGTTAAATTCCAGGTACCTCCCGTAGGACCACAGCATAGGGGTAGGGAGTTATGCTGACCAGGGCTGACATTGGCCTTGCTCCTCACTACCTAGTGACGCTGGGCAAGTTACTTAACCTTTCTGAGCCTGTTTCTTATCTACAAATACAGATAATAATAGTACCCATAGGATAGTAAAACAAGCCCCAAGGTTGTGAGAATTAAATTAGAAATGCATTTAAGGGCCTTGTCAGAGTGGTATACCCCCAATAAATGGCTTTATTGTTTTTAAAATATTATGACATGGTCTTTGCCTCTGAGGCACTTACAGTACAGCCCCTAAGCCCACGGCTGGAGAGCCTGGCCCTGTCATCATAGCGGGGGAAGGGAAAATGAGGCATCATTGTAACTCTACGCACGACTCTTCTGATGGCTTCCCGCCCGAGGAGACGTCTCTATCACACCAGGAACTCTAGAGCCCACAACAGTGAATTCCATCTTTTGTCCCCCTTTCTCTTTCTTGGTGTGGCTTAATAGGTTTCCTCTGATTTTTTCTTGTGGTGACATTAAGTAGAAACTCCCTTCTTGTGGAGACAGGCAGCGAGGCCAACAAAGGGACCAGATGCTGCTGAGGTGAAGACTGAGTCCAGGTGGTGGGTCCCCACCACCCCCTATCCCATGTTCCAGGCCACACTGGAGCTGGGCTCTCAGCTGGATCCCTACTGTATCATCCACCCACCTACCCCTGCACCATTGGTGCCTGGGTTCAGCCAGCACCTGCAGCAGTGTCTCCACAGGGGCCTTGAGAGCAGAGGGGGAGCAAATCCCCTCCTAGGCCCCTCCACAGGGCTTGTCCTTACCACACCCACTCCC